TTAATTTCCCGCCCAAACCTTCACATCTTCCAGGCTTTCCTATTTCTCCCGAAGGAGCCACTGTCGGTCCGGCCTTCCAGGCTTATCACTTCGGCATTACGCTGGATGTCTGACTTTCCCTCGCCCACATCTGTGGAGATCTGTGGTCCGTTGCTGTCATACACAACATCCCTCCCTCTGACCCCTTCTCTCCACTCTCTGCTCCCTCTTGGTTCAGCTTATCCCCAGCCTGAAACGTCTCCCACTACAGCCCATCCTCCACACAGCTGACAGGAATCTTCACTAAGTGGAGATCTAACCGAGGACTCTCCTAACTGTGGACAACTCCAGGGGCTTCCTGTTTCCTCTAGGACTAATTAGGAATTCCTTTGCTTCAGTCTGGAAGCCCTTTGCCCCAACCCACCTTTCCAGGCCTATTGGACCTAACAGGCCTCCTGCACTCTCACTTAGGACCCTCTACTCTTTCTTCTCTTTCATGGAATCCCTCATTTCCTTTAAGACACCTCTCAGGCAGCAGCTTTCCAAGATTCTCCCCAGCTGCTAGTGCCCTCCCTCCCACATGACCTTGTTTTTTAAGCACAATTTTGTATATATTTGTATTTATTTTTAATAATTTGTATATTTTTGTAATTTATACAATATATTTATACATTTTATATAAATCCACAATATATTCATATAATATATAAATTTATATAATATATTTTTTATGATTTATGTATTTGTATTTATTCATATAACACTTAAGTTGCAGATGTACCTGTTGTGTCCCTTGTTAGAATGGAAACTCCTTAGAGTAGGAATTGTCTCCCTCTTTTTATCTATGTCCCCCAGTGCCTAGCACAATACTAAGGACATCATAAATGATTGACTGATTGTTTGAGATGAGGCAGAAAAATCTACCCTCCCAAGGAAGTCTGTTTCCCTTTGGATAGTCCTAGTTCCTTAAATCAAGCTGAAATCTTCCACTCTGCATTTTCTATTTTTTGGGGCCAAGCAGAAGAAGGCTACTCAACTAACAATCAATAAACATTTATAAGTGCCTACTGTGTGCCAGGCATTGTGCTAAGTGCTGGAGATACAAAGGAGACAAAAGACATTTCCTGGAGCTCACAGTCTGATACGGAGACAACACGCAAATCAATACATACAAAGCAAGCTCTTTACAGGACAAATAAAGAAATAGTTAACAGAGGGAAGGCACAGGAATTAAGAGGGGCTGGGCAAGACATCCTGTAGAAAGGGCGATGTTAGCTGGGGAGGTCAGGAGGCAGAGATGAGAAGGAAGAGCATTCCAGGCATGGGGCCAGCCAGGGAAAGTGCCTGCGGCTGAAAGATGGAGGGTCTTGTTTGTGTGACAGCCAGGTGGCCGGTGTCACTGGACTGAGGAGTGTCAGGGAGTAAGGTGTGAGAAGAGTGAAAAGGTTGGGCCGTGTAGGAAGTGCTTGAATACCAAACAGATAATTTTATATTTGATCCTGGAGGTAATAGGGAGCCACTGGTGTTTACTGAGTAGAGGGGGGTGGTGACATGGTCAGACCTGTTCTAGGAAAATCTCTTTAGTGGCTGAATGGAGGATGAATTAAAGTGAGGAGAAACTTGAGGCAGGCAGACCCACCTGCAGCGATTGTAGCAGTCCAGGTGTGAGATGATGGCGGCCTGCACCAGGGTTGGGGGCAGTGTCAGAGGAAAGAAGGGGGCACACTGGAGAGGCACTATGCAGGTGAAATCTATGAGAGTTGTTGTAGAGGTGAAATTGACAAGAGATGGCAGAGGTGAAATCTACAAGAGGTGCTACAGAGGTGAAATCTATGAGAGATACTGCAAAGGTGAAATTGACAAGAGATGCTCCAGAGGTGAAATTGACAAAAGATGTTACAGAGGTGAAGTTGACAGACCTTGGCACCATATTGGATTTGGGGAGGTGGGAGATAATGAGGCGTCCGGATGACTCCTAAGGTATGAGCCTGAGGGACTGTGAGGATGGTGTTGCCCTCCACAGTAATATGGAAGGTAGGAGGTGGGGAGAGTTTAGGGGAAAAGAGAATGAATTCAGCTTTGGACGTGTTGAATTTAAGGTATCTGTGGGATATCTAGTGGGAGATGTCTGAAAGGCAGCTAGAGATGTGAGATTGGAAGTCAGCTGAGAGAGTGTAACTGGAGAGGTAGATTCATCAGCATGGAGATGGAAACGAAATGAACTAAATCCATGGGAGCTGATGAGATCACCAACTGAAGTAGCGTAGAGGGAGAAGAGGGCCCAGGACAGAGCACTGGGGGTTACCTATGTTTAGAGGGTGTGGTCTAGAGGAGGATCCAACAAGGAGACAGAGAAGGAGTGGTCCAAGAAGGAGGAAGAGAGTCTTCCACATCATACTCCTTTAGATGTTTCAAGATGGGATCATTGTAACTCCCCTCTCCCCCTTTCCTTCTGTAGGCTAAACATCCTTAGGTCCTTCAGCTGATCTCCCTTGGCACATGTGGTCTTTAGTGCATTTACCATCCCAGTTGCAGCCCCTTTGATTCCTCGACCCCTTGGGAATGTCCCATTGGAAAGGGGGTAGTTCTTTAGTCGATGACCAGCCTGTGATACTGTAAGCATTATCATCCCCACTTTTCACATGAAGAGACTCAGACTCAGGGAGGGTAGATTCCTTCCTCTTGGTTACCCAGCTAGTGAGTGGTAGACTCGGGTCTTTGGACTCACAGCCTCACAGTGCTGTCCACTCTCCAGCATGGCTACTCAAGTTTTCTTGGTAGAGGGGAGCAGCCACTCTCAGTTGGGTTGCTTTTAGTTATGCGGGAAAATAATTCCTGGGTGAGTGGGTCTAGACCAGCCCTTTAAATAAACAGGCAGACCTGATCAACCTCAATAGATAGGAATGAGACTAGCATTCTGTTCTCGCCCGGTTCAACTTGTCTATCACTCGCCCTATTGAGAAGCCTAGTCTCCACATACATATTTATTACTGTCCTTTAAAATTCAAAGGCCACCGGAAGATGTTTATTGATGTGACTGATCTTCTAGTGACTTTAATAATACTGAAAGTCAGCCCTCCCTCCTCTTGTTTATACCTCCAAATTCCAACTTCTCTTGCCCCTCTGGCAACACAGTAGGGGAAGTTACTTTTCCCAGCCTCAGTGTTTAGGTGGTTTCACACACAGTTTTCATTCTCCTGAGAAGCTGTCACTTTTATGATTTGTGGCCCCCTCAACTCACTGGGAGAATATTGGTTTTGAAAAGTGTGATTTTGGTAGCTGGGAGCAGCTTGGGGTCACTGCAAATGCTCAGTTTTGTCTTGGGCTCCTGCTGTCCGGCTCGAGGCCTGGCTTGTGGTCCCCCATCCTTGATGTACAGGCCGAGGTTCTAACTCAACTGGATGCCACTTAGGTGCGTAGCCCCATCTGGGCATCAGACACCCTTGATCTGCTGAACTTGCCCCTTACGGATAGCAAAGCCCATCTCTTTTGAGTGACCCACAAGTCTTGTGGAAGAGGCTCCACAGTGGGCAGGGCCAGATGTAGAAATGTCGGTCGACTTGAAGTGAATTGAGCTCAGGATCCCTTTGTGCCTTGAGCTTGCATAAGCTGTGGATGCCTTACGCTGGCTTGCTAGGTGATGGACAGTGACCCCCTCGCCTGGGCAGGTGGCTCACCTTCTCCGCTGGCAGTTCTGGGGAGGTCAGCCTAGCAGAAGCAGAATTAATGAGCACGTCTTAAAAGAAGGCTCTTAAGAACCTGGCGTGTCACCTTCTCAAGTGAGTTAGGGGGAAAGAAATAAGTTGTCTCCCTATAAAAACAACTGGTGCCCAAGAATCTTGGGCCATGGTTTGACCTCTGGCTAATAGGAAATGTGCCGGGTTGCTGTGGAACTAATGGAGTTTTCTTTCTCAAGCAGCTATTAGGGGTTAATTATTAGCAATTAGGGGCGAGCCACAGAAGCTTTGAACCTACTGTCCTTTCCCAGAAGTCTTAATCGTCCTCTCCCACTGTATTAGCAACTGGAAACCATCTGCCTGCTTTGATCTCCCGGTTAATCATTGAGGTGTCTACACGGGGCTCCCTCTGGGGGGCTGACTTCACTGACGACTCCCCCCTGGGCGGTGGGTCTGTCACAAACAGAGCGAGGGCCTCACTCCTTTCAGAGATTTTACGGAACAGGGCGCTTCTGTCAAATAGCGACCCTTTGTTTTTCCCTTTTCCACATCCCGTTCATGGGGACCCTTTCCCCTTGACAAACAGCCACCTGAACCCAAAGCCTTTGTTGCCTGTTACTGCCCACACAGGGAGAGGGCATCACACCATAGCAGAACCAGAAGGGACCTTGGCAATCACTGAGTCCAAACAGGAGAAAATGAGGTCCAGAGAGAGGACAGGGCTTGTCCCAGGTCGCTTCACAAGTTATTGGTAGAGCTTTCCTGGCTCCCTCCAGGTCAGGGCTTCTTGCCCTGAACCTCAGGTCTTCCCAGCCCCCGAGGGCTGGGGATCAAACCGGGGCCTAGGAAAATGTAGTGACCTGTTCCTGGCGACCCCTAGCATAAGGTCATCCAGTCCAGTCCTCACGGGCAGCAGACGGCAGAGCTGGGTTTGTATTCATGTTCAGTAGCCCTGGCTTTGCGGTCAGAGGACCTGGCTTCGAATCTTGCCTCTGATGCCAGCCGCCAGCATGACTTTGGGTAAATCCTGGGTCTGCCGGGGCCTCAGCTTCTTCATCAGTCAAATGAGTCAGTTGGACTAGATTCCCTCTGAGCTCCCCTCCAGCTTTAGGCCTGCAATCCCACACTCTGGGGGGCCTATATGAAGGGCCCCCAAAACATTGAGTGAGTGAGGAGTAGAGACCCCTTGGCTGAACCCTGCAGACTTTTGCTAGATTCTTTGACAGGCCTGAGGGGCTGGTAAAATGCCGGAAAGACAGACGGTCCCATTTCTCTGGAGAGGGGCCGGGGGTCCGCCGCCGCAGTGCCAGCTGTTCTTACCAGCGTTGTTGCTTTGGTTTCCAGACGCTACTACAAAGAGAGCGACGGCCTGATGCTCGATGTCGGCCCGTACGTGAAGGCCCTGGAGGTAGGAAAGACTCCCGCTGTGTCTGTGCTTCCTCTTGGCTTATGGATTAACGTCCACCCTCATCCTCATCCGCGCAGCAGCAAGAGTAATAATAATAATGATGATGATGATAAATACTAACACTGAAAGCCTGCAGAGTGCTTTGCTGTTATTATCTTATTTGATCCTCATGACAACCCTGCGAGGTGGGTGCTGTTATTATCCCCATTTTATAGGCAAGGAAACTGAGGCAGACAGAGATGGAGTGATTTGCCCCGGGAGGTATACCTAGGGTGATATTTGAACTCGGGTCTTCCCTCTCTGCCTGCTGTGTGGCTGCCTCTAATAATAAAGCAATTTGTGTCCACAAATTGCTTTACGTGCATAAGCTCATTTAATCCAAAGAGCTTCCCCGTGAGGTAAGCTGAGTAAGTATGATTGTGCCCATTTTACAGGAAGAGAAATTGAGGTCCTGAAATACACCCAAGATCACACAGCAAGTGAGTGGCTGAGTTGGGAACTGCCATCTTGTGATGTAGGAGGTGCTGGTGTGAGACGGAGCAAGGCTCTGGCTCTCTCTGTGTCTTTGTCTCTCTGTGTCTCTCTGTGTCTCTGTCTCTGTCTCTGTATCTCTGTCTCTCTCTGTATTTCTGTCTCTCTCAGTCTCTATCTGTGTCTTTGTCTCTCTTCTCTGTCTCTGTCTCTTTTTCTCTCTGTCTCCCTCTGTCTCTCTGTCTGTGTTTCTGTGTCTCTGTCTCTCTGTCTCAGTCTCTCTCTGTCTCTGTCTCTCTGTGTCTCTGTCTCTCTTCTCTGTCTCTGTCTCTGTCTCTCTCTGTGTCTCTGTGTCTCTGTCTCTTCTCTGGTTCTCTCTTTTCTCTGTCTCTCTCTGTCTCTGTGTCTGTCTCTCTGTGTTTCTGTGTCTGTCTCTCTGTGTCTCTGTCTCTCTCTTTTCTCTGTCTCTCTCTGTGTCTTTGTCTTTGTATCTGTCTCTGTCTCTCTGTCTCTGTGTTTCTGTGTCTCTGTCTCTCTTCTCTGTCTCTCTCTCAGTCTCTCTGTGTCTCTGTCTCTGTCTCAGTCTCTCTGTCTCTGTCTCTCTCTGTGTCTCTGTCTCTCTTCTCTGTCTCTGTGTCTCTCTGTGTTTCTGTCTCTGTCTCTCTGTGTCTCTGTTTCTCTGTCTCTGTGTGTTTCTGTCTTTGTCTTTCTCTGTCTCTGTCTCTTTCTGTGTCTCTGTCTCTCTCTTCTCTGTCTCTGTCTCTGTCTCTCTCTTCTCTGTCTCTCTCTGTGTCTCTGTCTCTCTCTGTGTCTCTGTCTCTCCTCTGTCTCTGTGTCTCTGTCTCTCTCTTTTCTGTCTCTCTCTGTGTCTTTGTCTCTGTGTCTCTCTGCGTTTGTGTCTCTGCCTCTTTGTGTCTCTGTCTTTCTCTTTTCTCTGTCTGTGTCTGTGTCTCTGTCTCTCTCCTGTCACCATCATCCACATCAGCCCTGTAATGCCCTGTGCTGGTGTGGTTCCTCATCCAGGATCATGGGTAGGTGGGACTGGTCTTCCCAGATCCGATGTTGTTGGCCCTCTTGGCTTCAGGCTGGAGCCCTCCTCATCCTCCACAGCCTCACCTGTTAATCTGTTTCCTTCCCAGTACGCCTGTGATATCCGAGCTGAAGTGGTGGGAAAACCAGCCCCCGAGTTCTTCCAGGCGGCCTTAAGGGAAATGGGCCTGGAGGCTCACGAGGTGAGTTGTACCAGAGGAGCTGCCACAGCCAGGCTGGGAGGCACCCAGCGCCATTTTGTCTCCCTTACTCTCCTTCCTGGCCTTCCCTGCCCTTCGATGCCTTCTTCCTGCCATTCTGGCCCCCGGCCATCACACCACTCAGTGCCGCAGCTCTGAAATCAAGCCAGCTGTATTTCGACGGGTAGATCTTGGGAAGTTCAGTCGTGTGGAGCCAGGCAGGGTCGTGGAGTGACCGTTCTTGTGAACACGCTGAAGAGACGTAGGCCATGGTAGAATTCTGTGGGTTCAGGGCTGGCTGAGCAAGCACCCCCAAAGCACGGCACTCATGAGCAGAATCGTCTGGTAGCGCATCCCCGCACCTGCTGCCGGGCAGTGTCTTAGTGGCTTACCCGGGGGCATAGATGTCACACTCCTCCCAGACCTTGGAGGGAGCACCCGCTGACTTTGAGTGATCTAGTCAGGCCCCCCAGGCATTCATGTCCATCCGGTGCCTGCTAGGCTTCAGGTACTGGCCGTGGTCCTGAGGCTATAAATACAAAAAGGAGACAGGCTCTGTCCTCCAAGCACCTACAGTCTAGCAGTGGGAGATCATCGTACAGGGTGGGAGAGTGCCAGATATGTACACAGTAACTTCTTGGGGGGCCATGAGAAAGGAAATTTTGTTATTGCCTGGCGAGACAGAGAGAGGCAGCCAAGGAGAGGATGAGGGAACAGAGAGTAGGAGGGAGCTCGGCACCGAGAGAGACAGAGACAGAGAGATAGACAGAGACAAAGAGACAGAGAGAGAGACAGAGAGAATGGGGTTCCCAGAGGGCATTCCACAAAGGAAGAGGGGAGTATCCTGGGGATGTGGGAAGGATGGCTGATGGACAGCAGTGAGACCCGGGGGAGAGCTGAGCAGCAGGGGAGCTTTGGCCCAGAGTGGTCACACTCTTTGACGCAGCAATGATGATACTGATCTGATTATCGATCCCTGAACAAGAGGTGGCAAAATCTTGATGCGTTAGAAAAATGGGCCAAGTGTCAGAAGTGAAAAAGGGCCAAATGTAAAGTTCTTTGCTCCTTTCTCTCTTCCCCCCCTTCCCTCCTTTCTTGCTTTCTCCTTTCCCTGTGTGCAGAGGGCTGTGCTAGGCCCTTGTGGGTGTCCCCACTTTGGGATCCACGTAGGTAGAGAGCCCTGCCTTGGTTCCCACACTGGTCTTAGAACATCAGGATTGGTTCTGACCCCTTGATTCCACAGCATCAAATTAAGAAGGAGAGCCCCAAGGGCAGGCCTGAAGGCAGAGGGCAGGGGTGGGGATGGGGTCAGCCTTTTAGATAATCCAGGGAGACTGGAATTGGGGGGCAGCAGGAGGAAGAGGGGGTTGTAGCTTCCTAAACTATGGCAAAGTCAACCCTTTAGTCTGTGCAGAATTGTGCTCCATTCTTGCAACTTAGAATTTCTCCCTCAGCATATACCCCTGTGATCCTGTGTGCTTGTGTGCCCTTTCTGGGCACTGTCCGCCTGTCCGCCTGTCTGTCTGTCTGCCTATCTGTTTTTCTGTCTCCACTGGCCCTCTCTATTTCTCACAAATTCTCCTTCTTACTTTTCCTTCTCATTGTGATGTCCATGCTGGTGACAGGAGATTGAGTCCCCCCCCCAAGTCAGCATTCTCCTCTCCCCCACCCCCTTCTCAGGTGCTCCATAATGGGCTCTTCCAGCATGTGGGGAGATTTAAAAATCAGTAATTTCCCAATTAGGCTGTTTCCAATGCACTGGTATGTGAGGGAGGTGATGATTTTGTGTTTGTATTTTTCTTTCTAATGACAATCTTTGTGGTGAGCTCTTTCCCGGCTGTCATGCCAGGCTGTGGTGAACCTTAAATTTTTCAAGCTGCTGTAATCAATAAAGTTATCACGAGTCATTTCCCTTGATATCTGCTCCTACCCGAGACCCTGCCTTGCATCCTCTTGCCGAGGTGTTTCCAGCCAGCTCTTAGAATAGACAGAGCTCCCTCAAATCCAGTTTTCATTTTAACCTTTCCTTAGTGGCATAGAAATAACAGATTGCTGGTATTCCTTTAATAGATTAGAAATTCAAACCTCTTCGAGGTAACCAGGCTCTTCATAGGCTTCAGTAATGAGACAAAGAATAACCCTCCTTAAAGGTTACCTGAGTCCTAAAGGCTCTTGGTTCAGCTTTCCAGCCCTGGGAGCATCTATGACTATTGTAAAACTAAAATAAAGTTTGGATCTTGGCAATTTGTATGATCATAAAAAATATTCTATCTGTAGCAAATTATTCTGCTTCAATTGACAATGCTCCCATGCGTGACCCTCGTTAGTTAATCCAAGGGCAGATTCTTAATCCCAATGCCTCCAGAGGAGGAAGGGGGAAGGCGCTCATTAATTTCCTCATTAGGCACAGCTTAGACTCTGCACAGTGTTCCAGGCTCGGGGAGCTGCCAGATCTGGTAGGGGTGCCGAGGCACGCACACAGATAGCCCGGCCCACGGTAGGTAGCGTAGACAAAGATCCCCAAGGTCCCTCCCAGTTTTAAATCCTGTGATTGAGTGTCATGAGATCAGATGAGGGAGAAGTGGCCAAGGGGCCCGGGCTTGCAGGGGAACGAGCCCGGATGTTGTTCAGTCGGGCCGACTCTCTGAGACCCATTTGGGGGGATTTTCTTGGAAGAGATGCTGGAGGGATTTGCCATTTCCTTCTGCAGCTCATTTTATAGATGAGGAAACTGAGGCAAGCAGGGTTAAGTGATTTGCCCAGAGTCATGCAGCTAGGGGTGTCTGAGGCCAGATTTGAAATCAGGTCATTGAAATCAGGACTCCAGGCCTGGCTCTCTATGCACTGTGGCGCCACCTAGCTGCCAATGTGGTGCCTGCAAGTCATTTTTGAGGAAATTCCTTTATTTCCTCTTGGAATGTCTGTCTGTCTGTCCGTCTGTCTGTCTGTCTCTGTCTCTATCCCAGTGCCCCCCTCCCTCGTACTCTGTTTGTTCTCTCGTTTTCTCCTTGGCTGTCTCTGTGTCTCTCTGTCTCTCTCCTCTCTCCCTCTCTCCTCTCTCTCTCTCTTCTTTCTCTCTCTCCTCTCTCCCTGTCTCTCTCCTTTCTGTCTCTCTCTCTTCTTTCTCTCTCTCCCTCTCCCTCTCCCTTCCTCTCTCTCTCCCTCCTTTTCTCTCTTTCCCTCTCTCTCTCCCTCTCTCTCTCTCTTTCTCCCCTTCTCTCTCCCTCTCTCTCTCCCTTTCCCTCCCTCTCTCTCTCCCTCTCCCTCCCTCCATCCCTCTCTCTCTCTCTCTTTCTCTCTCTCTCTCTCTCTCTGTGCCGTGCTCCCTCGTACTCTCTGTCTGTTTCCTTTTCCTCTCCCTGTCTTGCCAGGCAATAATGAGCCCTGATTTTCACCGTGCATTTAAAGAGAACCTGCCTTTATGGGACACACGAAGGATTCACATAAATTCCATGGACACAAGGGTCTTGAGACTCTTCAGCTTGTGCGGTTTTCCTGAGGCATATCCAGGGGGTTGGTGCTCACGCTCTTTTCTCCTACTGTGCTTTCTCCGTTAAGATGGCGCTTCTATCAGTGGCCCCAGAAGGCTTTCCTCCCTTCATGCGCTCACCTGTGGAGGGGGCCCACGAGTTCTCTGCAGTCCTTGGGTGTAAAGGGAGATTCAGGGAAGAACGATTTAGTCTGAGATAGATTTCGGAGAGCAGCTGTGGAATTTCCTTGCCTGGAAATTTGGGGAACAGACGGGCATCACTGCAGTTCTGGGGCATTCCTGGCGTGGGCCTCCTAGAGCCTCGTGGCCGCAAGGGGTCTTGGGCCTCCTGGGAAATTCACATTTCATCTGGATTTTCCTTATTTTAGAAGGTATTTCTTATTTTCTGTGCACGTTAGAAAGGAGGCATGGCCAAGGGAACAGAAAGCCAGCCTTAGAGCCAGGAGCTGGGTTCAAATACTTTTCCTTAGACTGGATATACCTCACCTCACAAGAAGTTGCCAACCTGCATAGGTGGAGGGAGTTCCCTCCTTTGGGAATCACTTATTACAGTGAAACTGGCCTAGGTGCAGTCCTCTGTTCTAGGATTTCTTTTCTTGCTGCAGGCTCAATTACATGTGTGTTCAAACGCACATTGGTGCTTGCCCTAGGGGCCTGGATCCTCAGGTTCATCAGCTGAGCGCCTGAGTACAAAAGGGTGAAGATACTTTAGGGGGGTGCCTTTCTCCTTATACCTTGCAGCTGGTCTTGGACAGTTGAATATTCTCTCCCGGTCATTTTTCATTTTCTAATACAAGGGGGTCTGGACCCCCCTCAATGGTCTAGGGAACTCCCAGAAGAGGACAGTTGCCTCTCTGATGCATGTCAGCCCCTCATCTCTCACTGATAGCTACCTGGGGGCATGGAGAGTCAAGTGACCTGTCCAGGGGCATGAGGCTGGTATGGTCAGAGGCTCTGACTCTGAGGCTGGTGTCTCATCCATGCTGCCACACTGCCTCTCATTGGTGATGGAAGGGCGTGTTTAACCCTGACCTGACACTTCTTCCAGGCCAAGCATCATTTAAAAAGATGATTATAGAAATGAAAACGGAGACTTCCCTCGGGGAGGCTGTGATTGGCAGGCGAGGGTTGCGTGACTGCCTGGTCTGGGCTTCGAGCTGGTTTCTTGCCTTTCATTTCCTGGCCCAAATCCTGGCCTTGAGAATGAATGCATGAACGTCCACGTGCCCTGCCATTTGTGTACAGCGGGCGCCCATGCAGCAGAGCTCTTAATTCTTGTTTTCAGCGGGTGGGTGACCTTTGAGTTTTATGTGTCTGTCTCCCTTCTTGCCATATTGCAGTCAGAAAAGAAGTTAAACCTGGGTTTGACAGGTAGGGTTTTTTATTTCCCTTGACAGCCCACCTCTTGACCTCTATCTTCTTGCCAATGATTTTTTAAATCCTAAATGATTTGGGAATAATTGCTCCTCCGTTAGTGATTATCGTCCTTCACTGATAGTAAATCTGTGAAGCC